CTTTCCCTATTTATATACTGTAACAACGAGACTCTTGTGCAATGTTTTTTAGTCAAGAATAAATCATTCTATACAGATTAGAAGAATATTATTATTTTCATCGCACAGAATATGTGAATGATAGATTAACCATCTTTCATTACCCCACTAGAGAAATAAATTATTTTTTTCATCGCATAGAAGATGCGCGTGATATAGATTAACCATCTCCCATTGCCCCACATGAGACTATGTTAAGAACGCACCGATGCATGGTTTCATTATGATTTGAGATAAAGAACAAAATTCATAGTTTACATCAGCCGAGAACACAGTATCAACTCTACCAAAAGTTCACTATGTACAAAAGAAAAACACTACATCAACTCATTGAGTACTCGATGTCCACCAAACGAGAGAGGATCTCCTCACAACTTGGCCGCTCGCGCGGTTCCGCCCAACACTCTGCATACAGAAAGTAACCAGTTAAACTTTATGGAATCTGAATAAAAAAATAATACCATCGACGTAAAAAAGGCCTCGAATCAAGTATTGAATATTTTGACAGTTGCAGACCTGAAATCAGCCTGCCTAGAGGGCCTTCAGGAATATCCAATCGGGAACCCTCATTAGCAACAGCATAAACCACCTAATCAGCAGATAAAAGAGTGTCCAACATAAATAAATCATTACAATTTGAGGACCCAAAATTTTAAACAAAGAAGCATAACGGAAAAACAAATCTTCACGGAAGATGATCAAATCGTCTATTACACATACCCTCTCCGGAGGAACGCCTTCCCATGGCCTATTTAAGGTGCAGAGCTCCCACATTATCACCCCAAGGCTAAAGATATCACATTTTTCGGTGAATGGTTCACTTCGAATAAGTTCAGGAGCCATCCATTCTGGGGTTCCAGCTGGCGAAGAATCTCTCATGGGGGAATCTGTTACTATTCTTGATAGTCCAAAATCACATATTTTCACTGTCCAATGCCTATCCACAAGACAATTTGCACTTTTCACATCACGGTGTATAATCTTCATACGATGTATGTGCATTAGGCCCCTAGTCACCACAAAGGTTTTCTCGTCAATGTTAGCAGATCGAAGGCAATCTTGATAACAAATACATTTGACTGAAATGCAAGGTCATATGGCACTTGATAATAACTGAGATAATACATACATTAAGTGTTTAATGAAGAGAAGGTTTTATAAAAGTTAAGCATAACCAGAATTGAGCGCTTATATACTTACCGGCATATGTCCCGCAACATCTTTAGCCTTCTCCGCCAGCTAAGCCTCTTCTTTTGACCGCTTACATGGATCAAGTAAAACAAAGACCCCATCTCCATGTATTCAGTCACCATTGACAAGCGTGGGGGCTTTGTGCATGCTCCAAGAAATAAGATAACTGCATAAAATTTAATCACCCAATAAATAACTTACTCCAAAAGAAATCGCGCTACACAAGATATATTTTTACGACCATATATGCACAACATCACTCTTAGAATTTTGAGCAAGGAGGAATTTGGTAATAATTTCAGTTGTCAAAAATATCTAGTAGACAGAGTACAATATCAATTAGTGAAAAGACCCATATAAATAACTAGTAAGGATGTTAGAGACTACCATTTGGATGTCGGAGCCGGCTGGAGGAGGAAAGAAACACACAGAAGAAGAGACTGGAAGTCAGCAAATGTTGGATGCAATCAAAAAATTGCTGACAAACAGCAAATCAACGTAAAATACCTGAGAATGGATATCTCATTGCAGAAATCTTCCATGTTTTCAGCAGTTAAATCTTGCTCTAGGAACACCTTGATTGCAACATCTGTGCCATTCCATATGCCACGGAAAACTTCACCAAAGAATCCTGGAAAAGAAAAGAGCAACCAAGTTTGATACATTTATATGAAGCAAGTTTTTCTCAGGGCAGTTCAAATCATGAATTTAAAGCATAGTTTCTGAATCATCCATGGTATCAAATTGAGTTGGTGAGAAATTAAAAAAATTTAATTAACAAAGCAAACACAAATTCAATAATAATAGCACGGTATCTAATTTTGTCGTTCCCCTGAAATAATGAGACCAGTTCTGATAGTTTTATAAGTTCCAAGAGTTCGATTTTTTTCCTTATCATGTTTGATTGATTTTGGGTTCCTCAATTAATAATTATTAGTTTAGATTTCTTTAGTAATCTTTTTATCATTCAATTTCTTTCCACCTTCCACGAGTACTACTTCTTTGGCTGCAAACTCACATATAGTTTTTCCTTTAAATATCTCACACTCAAACAACCCCAAAACTTGAAATTGTTGAACATGAAACAAGAAAAGAGGGAATTAAAAGGAACCATCCATTTTTTTTCCAGGGGGGAACTGGAGAAGTAAAATTAATTGAAGGTCTTTTCAGGCATCATCTTAAATTTAAAAACCAGACAATGAAAAAACTAGGAAAAATTCCAGTTGGATGTAACAGATCTGACCCAGATCTGCCTAGATCTGTCACAATCAAGCACAAATATGTAGAAATCCAACCTCATGAAATATTTGGAGTCAAGTGATTCAGCCAGAAACTGATTTGCAGTCATTTCAGAAATTCAGTCATGCTTAAGTCAAGAGTGATACTGAATCACACTGCAAAAATCATAAATCATGATTTCGATAGCTATGAGCTGAAACTTACCAATCCCAACACGAGTTCCAACAGTCAATTCTGAGAACTTGATATTCCATTCTTCATATGGTAACAGAGGTCTATCACTGAACATTGGTGATTCCAGGACTTTATTCCAAGTAGACTCCAGTTCATTATTCATGGCATATTCTGACGTCCCACTTCTCTCAGAAGCTTGTCCTCTATAATCATGTGGAGAAGAGGGCAAGGACATTGCCTTCTGAGACATGACAGCATCACGGTGTGGCGAATATAAGGGGGACCTCTCATGGCCATCAAGATGGAAATTTGACACCTGTGATATCACATCACACGAATCAAGTGTGACGAACTTCATGTTTTAAAATGGAAGCTAATCCAATTTTTTTTATATATGATTCACACGTTACCATAATTATCAATAATGAAACACATTATAGAGCGACGATTCTATTCCAAATTACTGAAAATTAAAATTTGTACTATAGCCATCAGCAAAATTACGTAGTTGTAATGTTTTATTTTTTTAAGAAAAATATCCGACATGAGTCATGACAGCATATTGATTTCTTTTAGAGAGTGATGAAATAAAACCATAGCTATGATGCATAAGTATGCTGAAAGATGCCACAGGCAGAGAATGAAGGCTTAAATAATAGTGTACTCTATAGTTACAAAAAACAACGCAGACATACATTTTTATGAAGATCTGCACTGCTAGTTCTATCATTTGGAGAATGGGGCAATGAACTATCACCCCCTTGCTCTCTTAGAAGTCGGTTTTGCTTTAGCGTCTCATTCATTGCCCGTACAGCCCTACAGAGATTAGATCCTGAGTTATCACAGTATTAAAACAACTTATGAATCAGCAACATAGACATACTATATACATTACATATTTAACTAAAATAAAAGATGATTATACACTATGAAAATTGTAAATTAAGGATCATTAATTCACTTGATCAAAGTACAAATATTATCATGCATTCTTTGCATTAGTTATTTACCACAATGTAGGAACCAATTACAACAGTCAACCCTCTAGCAATCTGCAAATTAATCTATCAAATTAGTAAGTTGAGTAAATACTAAGAATGCAGTACAGGTAGGGTACACTATTATCATGCATTTTTTGTATTAGTTATTTACCACAAAGGGGGGAAAACCTGTGCTCAAAATGATCAATATTTTGGTTTTTTTGGCATAAAGTAATCAATACTAAATATGCAATAAACAATTTTACATTTATCTATACCAAGGACAGTGTGCTTAGGAATTAGGATATAAAAGCCAGAAGCACAATAGAGCAACAACCAACCTTGCAATATCATCTCCAATCTCCGGTGTAATGCTGATACTTCTCCTTCGTATCCTACGAGCTTCTGATGAGGATGCACCATCTGACTTATAGCTGGATCTTAAAAATGAACAAAGTTGTCTGTTTAAAAATGTGATGAAGAAAATACTTCCGTAGAGTTACATAATGACATCCTATAACCATAATGAAATTATGCCCACAACATCAATGTTACTAGTAAAGGAAATAATCTATAAGTATCCGGTATACAGCACCAACTAGAATGAGGAGAATATATTATTTACTTGGCGACTTAATTTTAGGCTGTGTCATATCAGTATGAAACCCAGCTAGCCAACATAATTGCTTTTATCAGAACTTGAACTGACACCGAATGTTAAGTTATTAGAGTTTTCTTTTAATCAGTCAATAGGAAAGATTACAACAATGGGGATGAAGATCAAACCTAAGTCTTCTTGCATCTACCTCAATCCCCCAATCACTAGGTCAACCCTAGTGGTTAAGTTATTAAAGATTTGTGAGGCCATAAAGTTTCAATAAGTAAATGCAACATCATTAACTTTAGAACCCATAAAAATCAAATACATGTTCTGATAAATTGCTTCATATATATGATAAGTAAAAAACATGACAAAGTAACCCAAAATTGGATAGAAAAATATTAAAGATTTACGGAGAAGTTGGTTTTCATACATTCAATAAGAGCCCAGTATAAAAATGCAACTGAAAAAATAAAGTAGCCAACACCCAATTGCAGGAGAAAATGTCAAGGGACCATAGAGGCATATACCTCGATGACTGATCATCAGCAAAATCTCTAAAAGCAGTCCTGTCACCACTAAGCTTGGACAGTCCATGAGCTCGCAATGATGGATGTTCCGGACTGCAAAACCAGAAATATTTGAAGCAAAAAAAAAAAAAAACAAAGACAGCATAATATTTAATATTCTAAGATATTTTAGCAAGTAGAATTCGGAGATCTGTTAGATACAGTTGCCACTTGTTAAAAAATTTATAATACACAGATCAATTAGAAAGAAAAAATTGCCATATATATCATCAACAGAGAAGTCATCTTTCATCAACAGAAAACATGCTGAAAGCAAAACACAATAGCATATATA